GTGGGGTGGGCCGTCAGGTCAGCCGTCACTGTCTTAGGGCACAATGCTCGTCGGGGTCCTCATCGCGGATTTGGATCAACTGTGGTCGTAAAATTACGTTTGAAATGCCCCACCGCTGGACCAAGCCCGACGCGTATTGTGTTCAAAGTTCAGTGATGGCCCACCGTTCCGCACCGCCGCACGCCTTGCCGAGGGGCCGTGAAGGCGTCGTGGTGAGACACGGCAGGGGGAATAAGCCGACAAGCCGCGACAAGCCCGCCCGCACGGCTGCACGCTGTGCAGTATGATGACAAAACACATCGGGGTCTGTAAGCCACCCTGTATAGCTCGTTGTACAAAAACGAGGTGTGTGTTGCAGGTACCACATCAAGTCGCGGTTGAGGAACCAAGGACTGCAGCTGAGGGGCAATCGCCATGTGCGGCCCAGGGACGATCCACCCCGGCCCCTGTACCGATGTCGTCGACCCCCTTGCGATGTATGAACGTAAAGATGCTCAACCTCAGCGGCCCGCTGGAGAAGGCGGCCACCCTCGTGGACGTGACAGGGGTAAGTTTGTCTGTGTTCGATTCACTTCATTCTAACTACCAATGTCCATGCACCTTAAACGAGGTCGTCTCTTTGCTCGGCCTTGGCACTGGCGATACAGAAAGGGCGTGTCTCCGGGAATGGATACTAAGCGTGCCTGGTCGAGTATCAACTGCCCCCCTCTTCTGCTGCAGGTCGAGCGGCTGGTCAACGTGGAGTGCAACCGTGACCCCGACTGGAGCTTGCAGCTGCTGCAGTGCGCCGCGTCGTCGCTGGAGCAGCTGAGCGTCTTCTACCCGCAGGAGGCCCACCTGCACGCGCTGCAGACCATGCCGCGCCTGCGCAGGCTGCACGTGTCGCACCCGGGAGGGAGCGCCAACGAAATCGTCCCGGACGCGCTGGCCCCCGTGCTGCAGGCCCTGCCCCCGGGATACGGCGGCCTCCAGTGGCTCCGGGCGTGGCGCCTGCCCCGGCCGACCCTGCAGTCGCTGCTGAGCGCCCACGGCCACTCCCTGGAGTACCTGCAGCTGCGCGTCGGCACCAAGGGCCGCAACGCGTGGCCGCTGAGCTGCGGCGACCTGGAGGACTTCCTGCGGAACTGCAACCTGCGGGCGCTGCGGAGGCTGGTGATGGTGAGGAGGGACTGCAGCCACACCCTGGCCGCCTGCAACCTGCAGCGTGCAAAGGTGCAGAGACTGCTCTCCGGCACGCGAGTGCTCTGCGACTTGTGTGACCACGTGCCAGTAGACGTGTTATAGGGGTACCTGGCCGACCGCATGGGTGCGAGGACACTGTTTGATTTGTACATATCTTTTTGATCTGTATCCATTCGGATTTTCTGAGTTCACGAACTCACCCAGTAATCTAGTAATATGATCAGTCTAAAATTGATTAAAAGTGTTTGTTTTTTCAGACTTGCACATTGGTAATTATTCTGATGCAGCGGTATATTTGGATTGTCGCACACCTTTGTCGCCCGCGATGCCTGCTCATAGACGACCACAGCGACCTGCCCGCTGTGAGGAAGCGCCGCTTCGGCCTCGGCGCAGGGACTGGGTGGATATTGCCGTCGTCAAACAGCTGAGTGAGCCGGCTGGGCGGGGCGGGGCGGGGCGTGGCCGGGACTGGTTGGCGGGGCTCGCAGTTTGGCAGCCCAAGGGTTCTATTGAAATTGTTTCCACCCAGAAGCACACCCTCCACCCCTCCCCTCCCCCCAACGCCACCGTGCGAAGCCGACGGGAGTGGCCCGACCCCCCAGGGGGCAGGCGGGCGCGCCCTGCTCCAACCCTGGGCAGACGCATCCTACCGCTTTACCATCGGCCACCCCCGCACAGGTACCTTCGACCCCGCCGCGTTCAAGTTTCGGTTTGATTTGCGCCGCCCTGCAGGGCCTCGTGTGTTCTGGAGGGCCTCGCCGGCCGCCGGCCACGCTGGCGTCGCTGCGGACCCGTGAGCAAGGGCCCTCCCGGGGCGCCCCCCCCCC